CCGCCGCTGCTGCCGCTCCGGAGCGGCGTCTCGGCGTGTGAACGGCCCTGGACCTGCTCCACGGTGATCGGGTGGAACTAATTTCTGCGGACAGCATCTTCCCTAACTTAACCCCATGCATTCCAGACTACAACCCCTATCTCACTCAGCCAGTTTGGCATGGAGGAAATGTGGCTGAACTACACTTCCCGGCTACCGCACTCTGGAGGCCCCAGGTTGCAGGACGCATCTGGGCTGTTGCGGTCGCCAGTGGGACCGGCCGGCCACCCAGTGTCCTTTTACCTCGCATTCCTGTCTGCCTTACAGGGTTGTAAGACGAGGAACAGACAGCCCCAAGCGCATCACGAGTTCCTCAGTAAAGACGAGAACTAAGCAAGTCTTTTGCCCCTAGTCCAAGACTGGTCAGTTTAAAAAACTGCTTTTTCACTAGCCAGAACCCCAGTCCCCATTTGCGCACGTGCCTCAAGACAGAGCCGTGCGGGGATTTGGGTTTTCCAGGGAAGCGCCGCGTTCCCTGAAGAAGTGGTATAAAGATTAGCCTTCCCGCTGGGAGTCTACGCAGCAGACTGGGCATTTTCAGTCCTGGTCTCTCACCCCTTGAGAGTTACTCGAGAGATTTCTTTCAGGCAAAGCTCCTTGAGGATAAGAGGTATGTTTTGCCTTGCAGGAATGTGTGAGGAATCTAAGCAAGTTAGGGTATGAAAGCCTTCTGAGCCCCAACTGATTTAAATGTTGGTTATGAATACGTGTGGGCTCTGGACGCATCATTGCAGTAAGCAAAGAAAGAGACAAGCCCTGTTCAGCCATCTACCTTTTGCTGGACCAGAGAAATTCAGATTGTTTATGTTGTGCTTATTTGGAAGGGGGGTTGCCCGGTTCTCCCACATCTGGGGAAAAGCTTACATCTTCAGTCCAGCTTTCTCTAGGCAGTACATGCACTTTTCTGGACAAAAGAAAACGCTTCCTAATTTTTCACAGTGAGGTGTTTGTGCTCTTACAAAATGTTCTGTGAGTGGTGCCCAATCAGATGCTTTTGTATAAAAGGTTTTCTTAGACCTCGAAAGAACACGTTGGGATGGGGGGGGTTGTATAGAAAGTAGAGGGATTTTAATTCTTGGCCTCCGCTGAGATGTGCAGCAGGACCTGCCAGAGCTGCTGCTTGGTTCTTGAAAGGGAAGCTCCAGAGCATTACAGGAGCTCTCGCTGAGATGCCGATGCTACACCAGCTTTCTCTTCCGTTCCAGCTTTGACAGTTCGATTTCTGACCCGAAGGTTCATTGGTGAATATGGGAATATTGGTAAGTGAGTCTCTTTCCTGTGGCATATCTTCATGCTTTTCTTCCCTTGCCACTTTTTAATTTTCTCCCTTCTTTCTCTGTTCTTCCTTCCTTCCTTCGTCATATATTGTTTTTTATTTCTTGCCTCCAGAATCCATTTACAGCCACAACATGAAGATGGCTGGGCAGAAAGCGTGCTTTAGTATCTGGGACCCTGCCTGCCCACAGGTGAGCATCACTTCCCCATTTGCAATGACACTCACAACTCCCACCCCCCCCCAGCTAGCCTGTTCAATCCATGGGACATTCCCATTCTTAGTCACATTAGATCCTAGATTTCCAGAGTTGGAAGAGGGTGCTTAGGAGTCCCACACCCTGTTCACTGCTGGAATCCAAATCTAAGCATCCCAGACATATGGAGACATTGTCAGCAAGACAAATCAGGAATTTTATGGAAGGACTATGTTTGGGACAGTTTGTTTCTCAATAGATCCACGTGTAGTTAAAAAACCCCAACCGCTATGCTTGCAGTTTGATTTTAGAAAGCCCCACCCACCCTTGTTTGGAAAGTCCATAACCAACAATCCCATTGCATTTGTTCCTTCATGAATTTTATGACAGATGCTCTCCACACTGCAGTCAAGTTCATTCATAGACTTTTTCATTTTTATTTTGCACCTATGGTGCAATCTCCCATCCTTTCTATTGCCTCTGTTCATTTTGAACAATTTCTACCCTTCAGTTCCTATATTCCAGTCATGGGAATCATCCTAAAAGGTCTCCATTCTGCCTGCTAAATCAGAGTTGGCCTTCTGTCATCAAAACTCAAGGTCATCTTCTTTATTTCCCATACTCCGACCATTAATGTATAGACAATGAGGGCCATGGACTTTATCAATTTAATGTTACTTTTAATTTTTCTTCAAGAGGTTTAACAAGCCCCATTTCAACAACAGTCCCAATTTATACAGTGTGCAAACCATCCAAATTTCTTTGTTCAAGGTATAGTTTACAACACCCCCAGTATTCAGTCTATGGTTTCTGTAAATTACATCTCACCATATTGTTTATGGGAGAGACACTCTTCATCTGGCTCCTCTTGATGAGTCCTGTCCAGTATGGTGGAACCTCTGGCATAGCTCTCATCCTCCTAGGAGCATGCAAGCCCCACAACCACATCAAGGTAGTGCCTCACTGGAGGTTGTTGCTGTTGTTATTATTATTATGGTTGGTTGCATAGTCAGCCAGATGTTTAGACTGGATTTGGCATTTTTATCCACCTATTGACTGTTGTTATTATTATTATGGTTGGTTGCATAGTCAGCCAGATGTTTAGACTGGATTTGGCATTTTTATCCACCTATTGACTGTTGTTATTATTATTATGGTTGGTTGCATAGTCAGCCAGATGTTTAGACTGGATTTGGCATTTTTATCCACCTATTGAGTCCCTCCCAAGGACCTGGGATGGGCAGATGGGGTTGAATGTTAAAGGTATATAAGCTGTTCCAAGGAAAGCTGCCTGTTGCAATTGACCGAGGGTGATTTTGCCAGTGCCAGTGGTGTTCAGGTGGTGCTCCAGATATTTCGGGATTGCATTTAAGGCGCCTATAACCATTGGTATTATCTTTGCTTTCTTTTGCCATAGCCATTCTACTTCTATTTACAGGTCTTTATATTTTGTGATTTTCTCAAGTCTGGGGTGTTGTGTGTTTGAATCCTGAAGTCCCAGAGCACTTTAGCTTCTTCCTTTTCTATTACATTGTCTGTTTTGTGGTCCCACCAGTTCTTGCTTGCAGGCAAGTGGTATTTCTTGCAGAGATTCCAATACACCATTGTTGCTACTTTGTCATGCCATTGTTTGTAGTCAATCTGTGTGATGAAAGAACTTGTAATAACTGCAGAAATGGTGGAGAAGAACAAGGAAGATCAAGAATTGGGCAGCACCAGGTGAAGATGAACTGCATGGTTTTTGGTTGAAACCTGACTGCTCTGCACCCAACTCATTGCCAAGCAATTTAGCAACATTTTCAGATGGAAAGAGCTTGTTTTCAACTAAATGCTGTTGGACTGCATCAGCTACCACACCAGTTAGCAATTTGAAAGTTGTTGGCAAACAGGGAATTGGCCTGTAGTTGCCTGGTGCTGCTCCTTTTGCTGGTAGGTTTTACCAGATGTTAACCGATCTTCAATTTCACCTCCTTGCAGTATGTTGTTAAACTGCTTGGCAATGAGTGGGTGCAGACTAGCCAGATGTTTCAACCAAAAACCATGCAGTTCATCTTCACCTGGTGCAGATCTTTGATCCTTGATCCTTGATCTTCCTTGCCCTTTTCTTTGATCCTTGATCCTTGATCTTCCTTGCCCTTTTCTCCACCATTTCTGCTGCTATTACAAATTATTTCATTTCAGCTTCTTTTTCATTCTGATCCTGCTTAGCTTCCTGACACAGATCAAGAGACTGCCACCTCCTGAGTCTCAACTTTGGTGCCTCCAGATATGTTGGAACTGATTGCATTTCCAGAGGGTGCCATGTTGAGGGAAAACTATCCCATAGGAAGAACTGTATGGTTCAGCCTAGTTCAATTTCTGAAGCCTGTGGTAATTTCTCAAGTTGAATTAAGGGCTGCTGTTTTGCATTCCCATCTGTAATAAGTCCTCCTTTGACTCTCTGTAGGTGGCCAATCTCCAAAGCTACCTAAATGAGAAACAACTCCGTTGGGCTGATGGTTTCATTATTGTCTACAGTATCTGTGATCGTGCCAGTTTCTCTTTTGCCCGTCATCAGCTCCATTGGATACAACATTCAAAGAGAAGAAGTGGGGCAGGAAGGATGCCCATTATTCTGGTGGGGAACAAACGGGACTTGCAGCACCAGCGGACTGTCTCCAGTGAGGAAGGTCGACTCCTGGCCCTGTCCACCCACTCAGGCTTTTTTGAGATCTCTACTGCTGAGACCTACCATGGCTCCTTAGTGGTCTTCCATGAACTTCTTAACATGGTTCAGGACTCGAGGAACTTGACCAAGAAGGCTGCAGGCATCCGTGAGATTGTCCGCAGTGTGTCAGCCATCTTTGGGCGGAGAAGAACTTACTGAAGTTTGGTTGGGGAAAGCTAAGCAGATTCAGAGAACTGTTCAGATAGAAGCCACTGATGATGGCTGTTGACATGATTCCTCCTCATGGAACATCAGATGAACAACTACAGAAGGAAGTAAGGAAACATATACCTGATGTACTTGGCTCTCCGCATGGCTCGACGTGTTCTTCCTGATTACCATGGAAGACAGTCACTCTGAGAAGCTGTAAATCTTTCTGTCCTAGCAGCACAATCTTCTCTAGCAATTCACAGGTTTCCATCTCTTAAACAGTGTTACCACCACTTACTGCTATTGCTCAGACTTTGAATGTGGAGTAAAAGTAGATGCTCTGGAACACATGCAGAGAACCAAAGAACAAGCCTTTTACCAGCTTGGCATATACACAACCAGGGGCTACATCTTCCATGTCAAAGAAAATGGAAGGAGCAGAGACTGATATTTCTCACAATTTGTATATACACAGAGATACAGATATTTATAGATATGTGTGGGTATACACATACGCACCCCTCTCACTTTGCAGCTAAATAGTTTAAAAGAATTGGAGCAATTATGTATTTTTTCCCTTCTGAACACAAATACATTTCTGTAAAGCCTTTTGGAGACCCTGCAGGGACTGAAGAAATTATTGGGTTTGTTGGGAAGAAAATGAGAGGCCTAACTTCAGGGCAAAAACTGTACTGTACTTGCCAGCATGCAGCCCAGTCCTCACACAGCATGCCTTCTTCAATTAAGTTCTCAAATATGAAGGCACAGGCCTTTTAGCTCTTTTGTATGTTATGCATCATTCTAAGCTGTTTTTCAATCTCAGTTCCCTACTGCACAATTCCCCTTTTAAAAGGGGTACAGTGTAGGAGGGAAGGAAGAATGGATGACATGTGTTTTCTTCTGTCCTATGTTTGGTTAAAACTTGGAATTTAAAAATAAGGTGCAGATTAGGTCTGCCCACTAGATTTTGCGACCTAAGCTTTTTTTTAATTAACATTTATTATGGCTGTGATGCAAAGTGCCATGCTCATCTAAGAGTGTAGATTGGACTTTATTCCTTAAATTCCAGCCACCATCCTGATTGCTGTAGCAAGCTGCTTTTCAACATAGTAAAAAAAGGTGTCTAAAATGTGCCTTGGTATATATGAGGCTGGTTCACACATCATGCTACTATAATATTGCATTTGGTGTTGGCTTAGTGTTGTGCAACTCCCAGGTACTGTGGTATGAAAATCATAGTTTGTTCAAGGGAGCACAGCAAACCATGGTTTTGAGACCTGTGGAGGCTTCCAGAAACCTTACTCCTCCATCTGCATGAAGCATTCCTGGTGCAGCTACAGGGAGAGTTTGAATTTGCAAGATGAGATTAAAGGTGACGGTACCTACAAGACTTCCCAATCAATTTTAGAAATCATTCCAGGACTAGAAATTTAGCATCATACGTATCTCCAGCTCTTTTCTTCTTTATCCTCTTCCTGCATAGTAAAAAAGCATGTTTCTGGTCCTTAGGGGTAAGAAAAAAATCTTGAAAAGTGAGCTATTCTTGTGAAAGCTGCTTAGAAGGAAAGGCCAGATTTTCAAGGCTTTGAAAGTAGATTTCATGGTAGCGACTATCAACATTTCACCAGCTGTGCTGTAAAACATGTAGCAAAGTTTAGGCCCTGGGGCTTTTTTTTTCATGTTCCAAATTATGGGTGGGCTACATCTACAGTCTGGGGGACTTCAGACCAGTCATTCTCTCTCAGCTGAACCTGTATCACAGGGTTTATTTGTTGGGGGGGCAGAAGGGGGAGGGCTGTGTGCGTGAGTTCCCGGACAAAAGAAGTGATATAAATCTGGATAAACCAAATGTCACTGGATGCTGGGTGCCACACTTGTGGCTAAACCTTCAATTACAATTTCTGTTATTTTGTGTGCGTTATACCTAAGCATGGTACAAAACCTATTTTCCTCCACAAAAACAACGCTGTGAAATAAGTTGGGGCTGACTGGTAACCTCCCTTCACCCTGATTCTGAGGGACTGCCATGCAAATTGGCACCATCAGGCAGTCTCTAGGTTTGCAGAGAATTAGGCAGGTTGTGACCCCTTGACTTGTCATCAGAGTGAGTGCTTATCCAAAGACTTGGGGGAAAACAAAATGGCTGTTCTTGTTCTGTGCAATCCAGCCCCTCCCCGACAGTGGTGGTGCAAAAAATTACATGAAAGCACATGGCAAAAGTAGCCAGTGTATTTGCATTATATTTTCTTTTAATTGTCAGTGAACAGACAGTGCATTACTGTATTAATATTTTGACTAGGGTCATGTCACGTCCTTGTTGGATAATTAAGCAGTGGTCTATTTTATGACATTTTTTTTTCTTCCTAGCATTTTCCCGCAGGTGCATTTTATGACATAAGGTTTTAAAATTTGTCTTCATAGGTGTTTGATCCAAAAAGTGGCTGTTTCTAAATTGAGGAAATCTTATTTGATAGACATGGAAACTGCCGAATGCTTGATTACTCATAAAAATTTGGATTCTGTGATGAAGTGACCAGGACAAGATCACTGATGCCTTCTCCCCAAGCTTGTCCTTCGTTTTATTCAGAATCTGAATCTGACTTTTTTCTCCACTGAGAAATACTCTCTTGCTATTTTGTCCAAGTTAGCTTCAAATCTCCAATTGCCAGTCAGGTAGGAAAGCTTAGGAGTTTGCAAAAGGTGATCAAGGGGTCTAGAACTGCTCAGGAACAAGTAACTCCCAAACCTCAAGAAAAATTCAGAATTTATGTATTTATTTTTTTAATTGTATGCTGCCCAGAGTCACCTTGTGTGAGATGGGCGGCTGTATAAATATGATAAATGTGTGTGTGTGTGTGTGAGTGTACACACACACACACACACACACACACACACACATACATACACATATATCTCCAATCCAAACTGCTGCTGCTACATGCTGGACTGCACGATGCCTTTAAAGTCCTATCTCAACCTCCCCTACGTTTTATTTCACCTGCCAAAGAAGCTCCACTTTTCTCATTTCTGCCTGCCTTTTTGCATTAAAAAAGTAAGTTACAGAGTTAACAAAAAGTGCTGTACCTGCTACTGAGGCCAGAGAAAAAGTGTCCTCTCTCAACCTGTTACCCGTGCAGAGACTGCCTGCCAGCCTTGTCCACAGCTCTGATCTTATTCCCAAGGAGACGTTCCATCCACACCTCGCCACTCATCGCTGCAAGCTGATATCACCCACAGGAGCCCTGATTTAGGGCAGCTCTCTGCTGTCAGCTCTCAGTCTGATCTCATTTGTCCTCAGGCTCAGCAATTAGAAAATGAGAGGGATGGACTGAGTCTGTTGCCATTAGCAGTAGCTGCTGGGCTCACAGATAAACAGTCATCAGTACCAGATTAGAGTTTGTTGAATAATGATAAAGAAGATCAACAATCACAACCTAGAGAAAGGAAAGCTGAACTTTATAACAGCTGTGTATACATGGGAAGTATTGACAACATTGTTCCAGCCCCAGAAACAAACTGACTGAATCTTTATTCTTTATCCAATCAACTTACCCAGAACATTTTGTCTCAGAGAGGTTTATACAAATTGTAACTTGGAATGTAGCTGGCTGGAAAGAGTCTTTCAACAGGGATTTGGTGAGATTCCTTTCTGGATTTGAGATAAGAGCCTTACAAGAAACCTGGTTAGCAGGGGAGGATGTACCAATACAATTCCCTGATTTTCAATGCTGGTATACCCCTGTCCAAAGATTAAAGAATAAAGGGCGAGCCTCTGGAGGCTCATGCATTCTTATAAAAGAAGAATTGCAAGGGCAGGGTGAAAAATTATATAATGGGGATAAACTCCCTCATATGCTGGCTGTGAAATTCAGATATAAAGATTTTGAGCTTATACTGGCAAATGTTTATATTCCCTCAAACACATCTTCTTATAACTGATTGTTTAGAATTATTGGAAGAAATAATTATGTTGCACACTCAAGCCATAATCATATTACTTGGTGATTTTAATGCCAAACTAGGCCAATCTCTTCATGATTTTGCTCAATACAGTGGACTTCCAAATGAATGTTTTGATAATCATCCACAGTGGTTTTCAGGAGATAACAAAAGTAATACTGCTGGTTTATACTTGATATCACTGATTTTAAATGTGATCTTCAAATTTTGGGAGGTAAGGATAATTATGTATATCCATACATGTTTCATGCAGCCCAGTCAAGCACTGTGCTAGATCTTATTTGTGTATCAAGAGGTACAGCTGACCAATTTTCAGAAGTCACTGTCTATCCAAGAGGGGAAAGTGATCATCACTTGATCATCATCACGCCAGTGAGTGTGAAAATCCCAGCTTGTTCAGATTTAAGATTGTACATGGCTGATAGATGGGTTACTATTAACTCAGAGGTAAGTCAAAATAAACGATTAATATGGTCCAAAGTAGATACCAAGGCAATATTGAATAGCCTCAAATCAGAGGATGCTGTCAGTTGGGCCTTCATAATCCAGTCACTCACAAATGCATTCACCAGTTGGCGCCATACATTAAAGAAACACCTAATAACTAAACCCTCCTCCAAAAGTTTCCCTATAGGTAGATCTCCTGGGTTTGACAATTAATGCTGTTTAATGAAAAAGAAATTAAAGGTAGCTATGAGACTTGCACAAAGGTGTCTCTGTACACATACAAGCTAAGATGCTGTCTCTAAGTAGCAAATACAGGAAACTCATTAAATCAAAAAAAAGCTGTGCTGCCTCAATTTGGTTTGGACTTGAGCTGTCAGCAAAAAGTCATAATTCAGCTATATTTTGGCATTCTGTGGCCAGAATCCTAAAAGAACGGAGATTTACATTCGATATACCAATCTCTGCCAAGGAATGGGAAAACTACTATCATGACCTGTTTGCTCTATCAGAAGCTGTTGAGAAACAGTTTCCAAGTAGTGATTTATCACTTATTGAAGCCTTACCTCTTTGGCCACCAGTATTAGAAAACAAGATCAAAACTATCATGAAAGGCTTATTGCTCATAAAAGAGCAACAAAGCCCCCAGGGAGGACTTTCCATCAGCTGAGCTATTCAAAAGCTATCCCGACTGGTCTATTGGCAGGTTTATTTACACCTATAAATCATGCCTGCCATGTCCCAGCTGGGTGGAAGATGGCAATAGTAGTTCCTATATACAAAAAAGGGAATAAAAAGGACCCTAGCAATTAGAGGCCTATTAGCCCAATAGATATTGTGGCTAAAATATATGCTAGGTTCCTTTTGAGCAGAGTTGAGAGTTGGGTAGACGAAAAGCGTATTCTCACGGAAGAACAAGCCAGCTTTAGACAGAGACGATCTACTATTGATAGTTGCTTTGTCTTGGACCATCTAGTTACAAAATATATCAGTAAGGGGAAGCAACTGTTTGCTGCCTTTATAGATCTTAGTGCAGCATTTGACACTGTAAACAGAGAAATATTATGGA